GGAGGAGGAGGGGGAGGAGGAGGAGAAGGGGGAGGAGAGGAGTGGAGGAGGAGGGGGAGGAGGAGGAGAAGGGGGAGGAGAGGAGTGGAGGAGGAGGGGAGGAGGAGGGAGAGGAGGAGGGGAGGAGGGGAGGAGGAGAAGGAGGAGGAGGAGGAGAAACTGAGCTGAGCACTCTCTGCTTCCTGACTTAGGATGAAATGTGACCAGCTGCCCTGCCAGGATGCCTGGCATTCCTCGAACTGTAAGTCGAAACAAAGAAAACTGCTCTGGTCAAGCATTTTGTCCCAGCACCACCAAGAACACAACTTGAAAACCTACAGAGTTGTATCTGCTCTGCTTGCTAAGGAGCCTTCTGATGTCTTAACCAGAATAACCAAGAACGTGCGGACCATTAACGCCTGGTGGACACATAGAAGCAGTTTCACTTCAACACCCACAATGAGTTCCCCTCTAACGCTGCAGATTTGGAGTCCCCCTGTAGCACCCAAGAAGTAGGACTTCTTGTTCAGAGGACTGTTCCCAGGAGCCTGTAACTCAAGAGAACAAGACTCAAGGCTAAAGCCACTGGTCCATAGGAGAAGAAGAAAGGGGAGGACTTTTCTTCTGTCAGCTTCAGAGAGAGAAAAGCTGGGCGTGGGATGGAAGCTTCTGAAACCCCGAGGTGAAGGGCAAGTCCCAAGAAAGGCCCCCAGAGTTGGAGGAACGCTGTCGCAAGCGTCAGGGTAGGGAAGACCCAGGGATGACCTGAAGGGCGGCGGAGGGAACTTTTAGTTTCTGATTGGCTCTGCTTTCCCAGAGTTGAAATGTTAGCATCAGAAGCAGCAAAAACGATCTAAGAAGACAGGGATAAGAAGCACACATCAATAGCGCCCTCGTGTTCATGGAGAGAGAGAAGCCGGAACCGCACACATGGACGGTATGACTTAGGAGCAAATGTGAACAGGGGGTTCGGCTTTCAGGAAGCCTACAAGAGAAGACAAGGAGATGCAGAGGTGACAAGAGGGGCCTGGGAAAAGCAGGGACGCAGGTCCTTGTCGCCCACGAGGAAAGTCCTCCTACTGAGCACGCCGAAGCCTCATGAGAAACACTCTGTTGGTTTTCATTTGAGGTCAAGACTTCTTCACTTTGGGGAACAAGAGGCTCATGGGCTTGATGGATGGATGTGCCAGACAGCTCCCAGCCACGGTTCCGTACTTCAGCACTTTGCAATTGGAGTCAACAAGTCTACCTTCCTCTCCCTAACCCCTGCCTTCTGCTTGGCCTCGTCAGTGACTACATACAGAAGATGTGGGCGCTTTTACTCTACATTGTACAATGACTGCTATCTTTCATTGGGATCTGAACAAAGAAAAAGTCCATTTGCCCCGTACACTGCTGTTTTGATAGAGGAAGGTCTCAAAAAAAAAAAAAAAATAAAATAAAATAAAAAAAAAGAATGGCATTGGCTACGCCTAGCAGAGAAACCAAAAGGAAAACTGAAATTAACAAAAGAAAATGAACTTGTGACCAAGCGCGAGCTGCTGGAAGGGCACACGGCAAACGACAGTGCACACTCCACAAAGGGCACAGGCTGTGAGTCACCGGGGACCAATCCGCACCATTCTATTAATAATCGGCATCGAGGCCGCAAGAATCTCAGTGCTGTGTTTGATGTACGGGTGTTTTAAAGAAACGTGCTGCCACAGAGGAGAACCTAATATTCGGGGGGGGGGGGGCAAAACTCAGACGCGGTGGGGCGTCAGAAACAAGGGGTCAGAAGCTAACAGCTACATTTGAAATCGTATTTGATTTTTTTAACTCTAACCCACACTATGCATTCAGCCACCGATTTGGGACAGCGCGCAGATAAACGGAGTCCTTGACGAAACCTCTTCAGGAAAGCCCGTTTGAGCTTTACAGGCCGACGATGCAGGCACAGACATACACTTACATTCTGAGAAGAGCCTTGTAGAAGGGTCGCGTGAAGAAGGCGTCCAGCAGATACTGGTGGATTAGCGCAAGGCCGAGGATCCTCCCACTGAACCGGAACCTGGGAGGGAGAAACACGAGACAGCTGAACAGGACTCAGAGTCTCAGCTGTGTTTACTTCCTAGCATGAATCTCAACTCTCTGTTTGTCCAAGATTTACCTGCCTGCCAGCTCTGTGAGAGAGGTTCTGGGCACTGTAGAGTGTGTCTTGGCCAGGGTTTACTTGTGGGGGGGATCTGTTCCTCTAGTATTTAGGGATACCTTACCCTTACTCCAAGTTACCCCACATTTGACAGTATGAATTCCCCTTAGCTTTTCAGTGAAATTTCCCCCAAACCATCCCAAGAGATAGTGATAAAGATTAAGAGAAAATGTCATCTTCATTTTATGCGCATAGATATTAGTTGATTTCTCTAATGCAAACTAGGAGTCATTCCCTTTTGAGGAGAAGCCCTTATTCAGGTTGAGGAGGTTCCCATCCATCCCCACTCTCTGTCAAGCCTCACTCCTGACGGTAAACACCAACACCCATGAAGCATTCATACAGACATTTGGGGGGGGGAGGGGCTTTCCTCATGAGACATTCCGTTCTCCAAAATGTTAAAATTGAATGCTCTTCTGAATCAACTTGGAAACTTTATTATGCAGATCTGTTAAGGCTGGGTTTTCTGTCTGAGGCACACGATCGTCTCCTCCATCACAAGTGTCTCCGTTTCCAGCTCCTCCAAGCCTGATGCCTACCAGAGTACTGCTGCGTCTGTCATTTCAGTAGGGAAGGCTTTTTGAGGTCCGCGGCCAACAGCTTGTGCCTCTCTTTATCTCCACTTATGTGAGCACAGCTGTAACAGCCAGAGTTAGGAGGCCTCCAAATTTGTAACTAAACAAGAAATGAATTTGAGGAGCAAGTCCTCAGAGTTAATGCCTTTCACCCATCAGTAACCTCGTGACTCAGAGTCCTTTCCACTGTGCCCTTGCTTTGTTACTCTCAGCGAAAAAACGACCGGGAACAAGTTAATAGGGGTTATGTAAATATTTAAAGTCTACAAATGCAGGGATTTGAAAAAGATGTAAGGCCATTTGGAAAGAGTGTAATTTGGGATTTTTCAGAATAAGTACCTCCAGATGGGAATCTTGAAATTGTTTGCCTTGGTTTAGTGTGATAAATTAAGAAAAATTAAGCAATATCTGCTTCCAGACTCGAAGTGGCTGGAATACGCTGGTGTGTGAGCGGGTGCTGCATGGACTTCCTATTCCTGCGCTTCATCTGCAGCTCCCCCGGGGCGCCCTCCACGCACGTGTGCTCGCTCATGTGCTCACACAGGCACACACTCACACACACACTCTCATACACACATACTCACACATACTCTCTCATACACACATGCACACATTCACACACATACTCTTTCTCTCTCTCACACACACAACACACACTCATACACACTCTCTCACACATACATGCTCACATTCTCTCTCTCTCTCACACACACACACAAACACACACACACAAACACACACTCATACATACATACTCTCTCTCTCTCTCACACACTCTCATACACACACACACTCACAATTCTCTCACACACACATGCTCACATTCACTCTCTCTCTCTCTCTCTCACACACACACACTCACACACACTCTCATACACACACATACTCACAATTCTCTCACACACACATGCTCACATTCACTCCCTCTCTCTCACACACACACACTCACACACTCTCATACACACACACTCACAATTCTCACACACATGCTCACATTCACTCTCACACACACACTCACACACACTCTCATACACACACACACTCACAATTCTCTCACTCACATGTTCACATTCTCTCTCTCTCTCACACACACACACACACACACACACACACATACACACACACGCCCCAGCACATCCACTTCCCCTCCCCCAAGGCCAGATTTGCTCAGGCTGTTAGATAAGTTTCTTGGCCTCTACCAAAGGAACCTGGGCAGAGTGGTTCTCAACCTGTGGGTCATGACTCCTTTGGGATTGCATATCAGATGTTTACATTATGATTCATAACAGTAGCAAAGATATAGTTATGAAGCATCAAAGACATAATTTCACAGTTGGGGTCACCACAACACGAGGAACTGTGTTTAGGGGTCGCAGCATGAGGGAGGCTGAGAACCACCGGACTTGGGGTCTTGCTAAGAAACGAATCCCCTATAACATTTTCCCATTGCTATAAAGCTTTTGAATTCTATTCAATTCACTTAAAGTTGATCTTACACAATATAATCAATTATGGGCTGGGGGAATGGCCCATGTAATCTTGTTTGAGAACAAAAATAAACGCCAAATGAGATCTATAACTGATAATGTAATTTTTATCCAGGAGGGAGAAGTTTCTAAAGAAATGTGGCTTCTTTTGGAGGGGGAGGGGGAGCTCGCATCCCAGAAAATTAACTGAGGATAACTGTCACCTTACAAAACCCTTACCATTCATGGTGATTGTCTACAAAAGCAGACATAGGACTTATTTGTACGGTGTATGTGTCATTGGCTGAATATTCAAATAAGCCGTAATAGGGGTTAAAGAGTTCTCTGGATACCAAGAAGAAAAACTCTCTGGAAGGCCCGCTATAGTCCAACCTGTAAAATAAAAATAAAAAATAAAAAATAAAATCACATCAAGAATAATCAGTCTCTACTCTTTCTAGGTATTAGGCATATTTTCTTCTGTGTTTAGCTTTCTAGGGAATATTCATTACAGTGTCTACATATTAGGACTCTGCAAACAAAAATGAAAACATTCTGTTCTCAGTATTCTTGACCCAAAATAACAAACTAATCATCTATATAGCACATATCCAAAACCTTAGCTACCCAGTTGACAAGGCACACAATAGGCAATGCACTCCTTGCTTATACAAACACACACACACACACACACACACACACACACACACACACACACATAAAGTTTTAAACGTCTAAAGCAAGACCACAGGGAAGGGAGTGTCATGGGAATGTTTCATTCATACAGACAGAAGCAGTTACACCACTTAGAGCAAATGAAGGCCTCGGGTATTTCTGGAAATCTTCTAAATGGGGGAAGAAAAAGAAGTCTCCTCAAGGATATCGGAGAAAAAACACGGAACGAGAGGATACAAACAGAAAGTATAAATTATAAAACATCGCAGAGAATCCCAGACAAGGAAAGGAAGGTGCGGAGAGTTTTCTAACTTGGACTTGGTAGTTGGACGGTACTTGGACAGCCTGGACCTTCAGCGCCCAAACTACACTGGGAACTCCACTTAACTTGCAATAGTGTCAGGGTCAGAGGGATGTGGTGGGGGGAGTGACAAGTGGCCGACAATGCCCACGTGGGAAGGGTGCAGCAAAGAGAAGCAGGAAATAGAAAGCAACTTGATATGCTAAGTTTCAAATGAAAAATATAAAATATATCAGTGTTTTGATAAAAAAAAATGACATGCAGATTTAGCAACGGGAGCGAGGGAGGGAGCCAGCAGCCCCAAAGACTTTCATTTGCTTCCTCCTGCCCACCACCACTATTTCTTTCCAGATCTTGTTATTTGGGTATTATTGCTGTGTGTGCGTGCGTGCGTGCGTGTGTGTGTGTGTGTGTGTGTGTGTGGAGAGGCCAGGTGACAAATCTTCAGGTGACACCCACCTTTTTGAGACAGGCTCTCTCCCTGGCTGGTAGCTCACCAGACAGGCTATGATGAGCTACTAGGTAGCCTTGGCTGGGTTGGAACTCACTATGTAGATCTCAAACACCAAACTCCCAGAGAGCCATCTCCTTCTGCCTCTGGATGCTGGGAAGAAAGGCATATACCATCTCACCTGGCCTCCATTATTATTATTATTATTATTATTATTATTATTATTATTATTTTAATAAAAGTGGAATCATCTGACCCTTTTCCAGTGATGGAATTTTATAACCTAGAAAATAATCCTGTTATACGCAGAAGATTGGGAAAAATAAAAATGTAACCAAAATAAAAATGGCCTCTTCCTGTGGTGAGAGTATAACTGAATCTGCACAGTGTGGACTTCAACTGTTCACATATGAACTTCCCATTTCTGTCTTCTCTGACTGTAGATGCCATTATTCATTTCATGTCCATTTTCAATTCATCAACTCTGACTTTTTCTCACTCCACACCGTCTTACGCAATATTTACGATATTTCCATGTGCTGGTTCAACTTGTTCCTCGTCTACATGAGAGGAAGCCTAAGCGCCAGTTAAAACTGTCCAGAACCGCATGGGTGAAGACGTCAAGCGCCTCAATTCATACCCACAGGGAACCTGCGGGGAACCTACTGGGTGGGAAAGGCTAGGTACCGGCCACTGTGCGGGCCGGTCAGGCTTCCTACAGTGGCATGGTGGCCCTGTCACTGTAACTGCTGATCATGAAGTCAACTTGTGACTCCAGACTAGGTGAGGGAGGCCATCTTCAGGCCTCAATGAGGTTACTCACAGGTACCCAGGAACTCAGATTGCTCCCATCATGCAACCTTTTCGTGACTTCCTCGTATTCTAGGAAGGTCAGCAGCAGCAGCAGCAGCAGCAGCAGCAGCAGCAGCAGCAGCAGCAGCTTTCTTCCGTTTGAATGTTCTTTGACCACAACCTCCCAACAAAGACTGAGACGCCCGTTCCAGCCTAAGCGTTAATCTAGGTCTTGAAGGAGCTACTCCTGACAGGACGCCATATTTGGACGCCTTGATCTCCAGTACCCATGTCTTCTTTCTCCCCGGGGCGGATCACCTCCTTCAACCTTCTCTCACCGCACAGGTGGGGATTTCCTGGTCTCCTGGAATCGACCCCAAGCCTGAGGTGTGGCGAAGGAGCTAAGGAAGTCTGGACACTTTCCTTCCCTCAAGCAGGTTGACGGCACCCCACCTGGGGAAGTCACTTCTTTTCCTTTACCTCAGCTGAAGAACCGTGCCTCCCTCAAACTGGCCTGCAGGCATGCCTACGTGGTATTTTCTTAGCTCTTCATGGATGTGGGAAGGCCCAGTCCACTGAAGCCCGCAAGGCCACCTCCGGGCAGGTGGTCCAGGCAGTGTATGAGAGTTGAACGTGAGACTTGAAGCGAGAAAGTAAGCAGTGTTCCTCTACGGTTTCCATTTCAGCCCCTGCCTCGAGTTCCTGCCCTGGGTTCCTTGCATGACAGACTGTAATTTATTGGCTGAAGTCAATCATTGCCTCCCTAAGTTGCTTTTCATCATGGTGTTTATCACAGAAACAGAAATAGAGCTAGGGCATCCATTGTCAAAGACATCAATTTTGTTAAATTTCCTCATTTTTTTTTTTAATAGAGAAGACAGAGGCCAGAGAAACCCAGTGAGCTGGATCACGGGAGCATTGTAAAGACGTGCTGGGTCTCGGACCCTGAACAGGTGTCCCTATTTCAACTTTAAAGTTATTCCACATGCCCTTCCCCTTCAGTATGTTTTAACTGTCTATCAAGATTAAAACAATATTGCTTCTAGAGCAGGGCTTGGCTAACTATGTCCTAAGGGCAGGACTGCCGAAGTCCAGGTTTGTAAACGAAGCTATACTGAAATGTACCGACCGCGTTGACGTGCGTGTAGCCTGCCGTTGTGCCCTGATAAGATGCTGAGGTGTACGTGCCACAGAGAATGTACAATGGGCAAAGTCTACAGATGTTTACTATCTGTCTCTTTAGAGACACGTTTTGCCAACTGCTGCTGTTACAAAAACAGGGAGGAGGGAAACGCATTCTTAAAACATCTAGCTTACTATAAATCTTTAGGGAGGCTCTCCGAGGAGACATAAACACTGACTGGCTGTGGGCACTCCTCTGCTGGGCTTTTCGCCTTGTAGAGGCCTGAAGGACACCAGGGTCACAGAGAGCTGAAATAACAGACCAACAGTAGAGCGAGCCTGCTTTCTTTGAGATGACTGGTATAAGCAAACCTGACTCTACTGTGGATTTTCCATTAAAAATTAAAGGGTGGTCCTAAGATTTAACTACAAACATTTCAATAATACTGCACTTACCAGAGTACATTCTAATGACCCCTGTGTGTCCGCTTCCCCTGTACATAAGACTTAGACCTCACTGGGAGCAGGTGAGCTTGTCTTACTCTTTGCGCCGGATAGTTTACGTCAGTCCCACACAAGCTAAAGCCATCTGAGAGGAGGGAAGCTCAATTAAGAAAATGCCTCCGAAAGATCGCGCTGTAGGCAAGCCTGTAAGGCATTTTCCTAATTAGTGATGGAGAGGGGAGGGCACAGCCCATTGTGGGTGGGATCAGCTCTGGGCAGGTGGTTCAGGGCTCTACAGGCAATCAGGCTGAGCAGGCACTGGGGAGCAAGCCAGTAGACAGCACCCCTCTATAACCTCTGCATCAGCTCCTGCCTCCAGCTTCCTGTCCTGTTTGAATTCCTGTCTTGATTTCTGCAATGATCAACTGTGATGTGGAGGCATAAGCCAGATAAACCCTTTTCCTCTCCAACTTTTTTGTTTGTTTGTTTTGCTGTTGTTGTTGTTTTGGTTATGGTGTTTCTTCACCGAAATAGTAACCCTAACGAAGACACTCACGTTTGCAGAATGATATTCTGTAGGAGCTCAACGCACATTGCTGAATTGCTACGGCAGCTCCCTGATCCTCTCCAAAGAAAACCAGCAGCCCTTATATCGTTGCCTGGCATTTGGCAGTGAATGACTGTGAGCCAGTTTGCCACGGGGCGGTGGGACATGAGTTCAATGCCAAGAGCGAGCAGAGCCAATCCCTAAGAGACGATTCAACCCGAAACTACCGCCACACAAGTGAGCTGGCTGAGGAAGGCCACGGTGTAGTATCTTCTAACATGGTAAAGGTTGTTAAGACAACAGTGACCTTATTGACTGGTTCCTCTTGCGGCTGAAGACAAACACATCTTCTCTGAGGCGTTAGGTTGAAAAGCAAAACTCACCTCAGAAGGGAAGAAAACTGTCAGCTCATTAGTAGGAAATGCATGTTAACTGGGAAACTTTACTTTTTAATCTTCCTTTTTTTTTTTTTCTTGAGCCAGGAATAGAGTCACTCCAAAGGCAAGAGAGGCCTACTACTTTAATTTGGTTGTAACTCCAAATGCAGAACCGTGTATTTAGGGGCGAGTCCGCTGTGGGCTGCGATTTCTCTCACTATCTAGCAAACTCAATGAAACATGTCCCAGCAGGGCATGTGGGCATGCAGCTCCTCCAACTAACTCCTCTTCCATATAAATAGTTAACGTGACTCATACCACGGGGATCGTTTGCTACATTCCTGTTTTGCCGGTTAGGTTGGTTCCACGGCTAAAGGCTTGGCAAGGAAGTACAGAAACTCCAGACAACGGGCGTGTTAGCCACATAACAGCTGCATTTGAGGGCATCTCTGAGTAAGCAGAGATGTCAGGAGGGTGACCACGGTGTCCCGGGCCCTGCCTGCTGAGGAAGCATTTCTCCCAGCATCACGCTGCTGGCCTGGCACACCGCAGGCGTTGTTAGCAGCTTTTGACAGGTGTTAAAATAGTTAATTTGATTCTCCCGTTCTTTCTATTTCAACTAAAAATAATCCAAGCCAAAAGCGCCCCGATGGAAACAAACTGAGAAGTAGCCTCGGGAGGTCACACTCTCTTTTCTCAAAAGTTTGCTCAGGCGCACGCGGCCTGGGTAGGTACCTTCTGATTCGGCCACAGAGACTGAGAACAGCGAAGCATCAGCTCTTGAGCCACTTAACAAGGACTGGAGCAGAGGGCGGAAGTCTCATAGGAGAAGGTTGCGCTTGGTGGTACCTAGCCAGGGTGCGACTCCAGAGCATCCTCCTTTGGCAGGTTAGGATGGTTCGAACGATGGGGGTACCCCTTTGAAGAGAGCAAGCGGCAATCCGCGAGTTCACCCTACAGCTGGACAGCACAGACCCCAGTTTGGTTGTATGCAAGGGCTACTGGTTAATTTACAAACCGCAAGGGGCCAAGAAGACCATCTCAAGCCATTCCCATCTCATGGCTATTTGTAATGTCCCCATCCCAGGGGAATACAGAAAGATACACCACACAGGTCCCCAAAGGAAAACCATTTGCAAATGCTCCTTCCCAGTCTACGTGCGGCTGGCAAGACCGATGACTGATGTCGTCCTGACAGCACGTTGTACATAATGAACTCGTTCTCTCTTCAATAAAGGTGCCCTTTATTGTCAGAGTTGTCGCGAGGCAGACAAGAGGCGGCCCAATCGCAGAGCCAGCATCAGAACTGTCTAGGACATTATTTCTTCAGCTGGGAGTACTAGGTCTTAGGTCATGGCCTGAACGCCTTATCAGATTCTACCTGAACTCTGATACCACATGAGCTTTGGTTGCTAGGACTTTAAATTAGCAAAAACAATACACCGAAGAAGAATATATAGTATATCCACTGCTTCTGGTTTCCTCCATTTCATAAGCAACTCCCAGGCAGACTAGAGCTCCTCAGAAATGGGCGACAAACCATTTCTCCTCACCTTTGAGCAGGGTGACTGCTTTTGGTAATTCTGCCACAGAGGTCCTCCCCTGCCCTAACTTTGAGACACCGTAGCCATGCTAATCTCGGTAGAGATTCAGTGCCTGGAACGCAGCTCCCTGACTATACCACGAGACAGCGCTTAGAATCCATCTACGTTCTGTACGAAGCCAAGGCTAGCACAAAGAATCGCTTCAGGGAAAAAAGAAACTTATTTTTATTCGAATGCATCCACATTTATAGGCCCGAGGAGGATTTCTGTGTTTTTGAAACTGAAAACAGGCATTTCCAGTAATCTGGGATTAATTCTACATCAAATAGCATCTGTATTATCCTAGAGACTCATTACTTCTGGAACAATCTATACACTGTGTTTCAGCTATATGTAAACATACAGCACGAGGCATAGCTATTGGTTCTGGGAAGTCGCTAATCCATGCCTTTTTGGAAGACAGGTACATACGGTTTTTATTAATTTATTAAAAGCAAATTCACTACCCTTTATGCGTTGGCAAAGCCAGACTGACTGATGTCAGATTAGAAATATCATTGAGATAGTATCCACAAAAACTGCAAAGTATTGTTCCCTCATGGCTAACATAAAGTTGACACAAAATAATACTCTTTGAATGCCAATATTAGTATTAATTTAGACTTCTCAAAAATTAACTCTGATGACAGAGGCCTATACTGAAAATAATCCCAGGGAACTCAGCCTCTAACAGTAAGGCAACCAGAAAACTCAAAAAAGAAACATTGGCTAAACCTCTCCAAATCCTGACCAAATGTTTTCATTGGCTAAACCTATTATTTTAGAATTTTTTGAATTATAAGAAAAGACAGGGCAACGTGTTCTTGCATAGCCATTATGAATATCTCTACTCAGTATAGAACATTCCTCATCAATACATCTGATGGGAACTCTAGATAAGGCCTCGAGCTTCACCAGAACTATCACCGACTAGCCAGACAGCTAGTCCATATGCTCCCATCATCCTCTCTGCTGACAGACACTGCCCCTGAGGCAATGGTTGCCTAAGTTGTTTTTCAGGAACTTGAAGCCATGTTTGTGTATCTCAAGCTAGCTGAAGCTACCACCGGTTCACTTGGACCTCAGCAGTGTGCCTTATTTGATAATTTTGGATTACATGGATGGTAAGCTTTTCCTCAGCCTGGGGCCTGTGAAGAGGGTGGTTGCGCAGGGAATGGACCCTGTTTTCACTTAACCTTTCTCCACACTTCAGGCCACCCTGTCTCTCAGCCTACTAGGACCTCGAAAGCTGGGCAGGCAGATCTGTGACTCGGGGCTCCATTTCCCTGGAAATAAACTCTTTCACAAAGCCTGGTTCAGGGACTGTCATAAACGGTCGTATTCAGGAACCAATGCGGATATGTAACTATGAACACAATGCCTACTTTATTCAGAGTCCATTCACTTTCCACTGCTACTCTGCAATGTCACCTGGGAAGTAGCGTTACATTTAATCAAGTCTCTTCTTGACTCCAGCGATCTTTCAAGTTCTTCCGTTTGTTCAATGTCCTCCATGATTTCCGAGAACACTGGTGAGATATTCTTATCATGTCCCTCAACTAGGAATTGTCCCGTGTTTTTCCTGTAGATGAACTGTGATTATGGGTTTGGGTAAAGTGCTGTTCTCATGTGATGGACACACTGTCAACAAGACTTAACGGCTGAGATAATGCTTGCCAGGCTTGCTTCAACAAAGCCAACTCGCTTCTCAGCCCCCTTATTCTTCCTGTGGTATTTGGGAAACAGTCACTATCCAAGTCACACTTGTGAAATTCTCCTGAGATACTGGGAGAGATTCTCCTTTCTCCCATCTATTTCCGCATGTGATCATATATTCGATCACTTGGAATGACAGTTCGATATTCCTTATTTATTCACTTTGTGGCTGAAATTATTCCCACTTTGGCCACTGGGGACTCTGTTGGCTCCTGAGCTGTTGACAAACTTCCCTACTTTATGGAAGGCACTGGGAGGCACTTCGGGCTCCATCTTGTATACACTTCTTGTCCCGGGCCTGGACTCAACACTTGGCACTGAAGAAAAACTAGAAACCAATGTCTGAAACAACAGACATTATTTTAAATGCCAAAAAAATAGGCTTAAACTCAAAGAACTTAAAAAAAAAATAAATAATTTGACAGCACTGAATCTGGAGAAACAGAAAAGTTCCATTTCCAAAATACAATGGGAAAATGTGAACATTTTTTATAACCCAGAGAGAAATATGTTTTAATGTGATAGTCACTCTTTGAAAAGTCTTTTCATTTTTTTAACTTTCATGTAGTTTTGAGCTTTCTGTGTTTTTCAGAACTGTTTTCATTATTCAAAGCCAGCCAATGTATTCTCAGTACCCTAACTGAAATACGGGACCTGTATCTTTACATCCTATCTAAAGGATACTTTCATGATAGAGCCTGAGTCCAGAAACTCAATGTCAATACCATGCAGAGAAGGAGCAGATTAAGGGATTGCTGTTGACAACTGAGACCACTCCCAAAGCGTCCTCTCTCTGGTGTCATAGGAAGTAGACAAGTGACAGGGGCAGGAAGCACTTGATCACCAGTGATCATCAAACAGAAAGGAATCTAGCCGTGCTTGGAACGGATATCATCGATTCAGAACATGGTGAGGGACCACTCGGGATGATCACACCTGACAAACATCTGTTCTATCCAAACGCATCCGCTAGGGCTTCTGAAGTGTTTGCCTGAGATCTCGACAAACTGTGGCCCAAGCCAGAAGTGCTGATGGACATCTGTGGACCCGGTGCCCAGCTCTTTGGAGGCGGAGGCCATTTCTGCTTGAACATTCAAGGCCAATCTGAGCCACATAGCAAGATCATGTGTCCAGAAAAAAAAAAGTCTGTGGTTTAATAATAAAAGAAGGCAGCTGGAGTTCGGGGAGAAGAAAATCCTCTCGTCCAAACCAGACTCATCCTGTGAGGAAATGCTTGGCATCTCTTGCATACCAGGGAGGAGAATAACAACACTTGCCTCCGTCTTCAACCGTGCACCTGCGTCTTTAAACAGACTAACACAGGTTCCAAGTACACTCGCAACATTAGTCACGGAAGGCTGAAGTCTCAGGTAGGCCGAAGCCCGAACTTCATGTGTTCAGTCACTATCTGGGATTCTAAAATGCATTCCAAGGCGGGGAAAAAAACGGAACACGGGCAGACGAAAGACAAGGAATGTTTCTTAAATCCCAGTCTGGTCCAAGGGTATCAGGAGAAAGACTTGAGGTTTGGGCTTGGGGCTTCGTTTTGCTGTTCTCTAGTTCCACGGTCAGGTTCAGTCATGACGCGCTTTGAACCGCCATTTACCACATACACATACCGGGCTGGGGGAGGAGGGAAGCTGTTGGCTATCACTACTATGGTTCCTTAACCTTCTTCACTATCGGGTAAGACTCAGAGCAGTGTTCTTAATGTGATCTGCACGACTGGGCTTGGTAGCACAGGTCTGGAAAGCTCAGTGACAAGGCGGTGGGGACAGAAAAAGTACAATGGTCGAGATCTCACTGGGCTATGGGCTAGGCTCATGGCCGGCTTGAGCATTTTGTTAAGACCCTCTCTCAAAATAAAATCTAGACAAGGGCTAGGGATATACCCGAGAGAGCTGGTGTAGCTTATCTGCCAGGCTCCAAGCGCCTCAGTGCTGCTCAACAAACAAACACCTGTGCCGACAGTGTCAAACACAACCGGAGCTTGGATGACTGGGTGGCATTTTAAAAACTATTCATCTATTTATTTTACCTCCTCCTGGTGGCAGGCTCCCCAGCCCCACCCTCCCTTCCCAATTCCCACCCCCACCCCACCTTCCAATCCCCACCTCTTCCAAGTCTCTATCCAGGAAAGGGCAGGTCTCCCGTGAGTATCAATAAAATAAGGCATATCAAGTTGCAGTGAGACCCGGCACCTCCCCGTGTATTAAGGCTGGGCATGGCCTTTTTAGAACGTGTCTAGTAGCTACAAGCTACAGAGCAAGCACTAGGTCCTGAGGTGGGAAGAAGGAGGGGCCTGGGAGGGAGGCACGCTTCAGTCTAAGGCAACCCATTAACAAAGGCTATGTCTACCTGGGGTGCAGCGGACTCAAGTGTGGGAGCCCCAGGCCTTTGTTTCCCAACCCTTATCTAGATGAGCACACTCACGGAGGAGTCAGGTTGCATGGTTTGTTTACAGTAGCTGGTTCGACGGGGAGGTGTGTTGCCCTCCCACGGGAAGAGAACTGGGGGTGGGGGAAACAGGGCAAAGGCATTGGTGCTGTTGCTGTGGGCACTTCCGGGCAGAGCGGCAGGATCGTTCTGAACTAGGGGGCTTATTTAACAGGTGACACACACCCTACGCAATGCACCGGGGTGGAAAACAAGATGTCAACCATAGTTCCTGTTCCCTCCCCGTCAAAGTTCCACTTTTCCCCTTCAAAAGATGGATAGATAAAAGAAAAACAACCATACTGACCTTCTAACTGAAACAATGAATTACAGGTAATAGTTATTTTAATTAAAAAAAAACACAACAAACGTCTATGTCAAATGATTTAAAAACCAGGGGAAGTGGAGGGGGGAAAAAAGGACAAAAATGTTTAAGCATGTGAGACCAACACTTCCTGCCAGAAGAACTTCCTGTTCTGGGAACCACAGATGCGGAGAAACATCCGCTCTGTAGCCACAGCCTGGGTTGCAGAGACCACTTCTCTGTTCTACTTACCCTTCTTCCCCAACGAAGGTGACGTACAGCTTATTCCTCTGCAGGTCTTTTCTGGAGTAGCCCATGATCTGGTTGAAAGCATCTTCCAGCAAGTGGTCCCGTCGGATAATTAACCTGTCCGCGGAGAGGCAATAGGAACAGGGCATTAAGAGATTGCTTCCCGTGCCTTATCTTTCTTGCTGGATGATCTCTGTTTGCCACAATCGACTAGGTGAGGAGGGAAGCTGCTTTAATGCCCTTGCCACCTGCACTTGAGTACCCATCTGGCTTTAACCCTTTCACAGCAAGAGCAAAAGCTACTTGAGAGACTCATGGGTAAACCCCGGGACCTGTAAAAAAAAAAAATCCATGACTCCTTTCTGAATGGCCAAGACATGGATCTCAGAAAGGAAGTGGTCATTACACACACACACACACACACACACACACACACACACACACACACACACACGGGGGGGGGTAGTAAAGGGAGAGGGAGAGAGGGAGAGACAGAGATCTCTTACTAAAGAAAAAACAGCACTATGAGGTAATTCTTTAAGGTTGGCATGCCCCCTAAGCATGGAATTCAATTACTCATGCCCAGTGAGAACCAGGAGGGTGTGTGTGTGTGTGTGTGTGTGTGTGTGTGTGTGTGTGCGTGTGTGTGCGTGCTGTCAAGCAAAAGCGTTTACAATTATACTTATACTTGATTTTAAATATTTAGTGACTCTTGAGACTCCCTAAGGGGTAGAGAAAAACGGGTGACGCTTGTGACAATCTCCAGTGATGACGACAAGGGAAGCCATCTTCTGCAGCGATCGACGCACCCTTAATGTCAAGAGCAGCGAGGACATGGCAGGGAGCCTGAACTTAGGAAGATCTTGGTAATTCAAACACAAGAGAGGCAGTTCAGAGAGATATGGAGTCGGGGTTAGGCCGACGTGTTTGGAGGTCCGTGAAAGCGGAACTGACCAAGCCGACATCCCTGTGCCTGGGGCAGCGAGCATGGGGGCTGTTCCCCCACTGGGCACTCAGGGTACAAGGTGACCGTCCCTCCCCTCTCTTCTCACAGGGTGGGACAGTGAGCTCAAGTGGGGACACAGAGGTAGGAAGACGGGAGAGAGGTACGCACGGGGATGAGAAGATTTCTGGACAAGCAAGGGAGGTGGCTAAAGAGGCAGGCACAGCGTCCATGACAGGTTCTGTTTGTTTCACAGAACGAAATAGGGCTGGTCATTATCCTGTGCTCATGTTGGCCCGGAACTAGTAACACGTGGCATAAAACATAGTGATAATGACACATCTCATGAATATCAGGCCAGCAGAGAGAGAGAGAGAGAAAAAGTCATCAATTTTGAATTTTGCCTATGGGTTTACATAGGCCTAGCTTGATTGAAAATCATAAGCTTACTAGTGTTTAATTCCTGAACATTTTGCATCATTAGAGTATAATTTACAATTTCTGAAATAATTATGCCCACCAAAATAGACTCATGTGACGCCCAATTTTTCAAACTCACAACTGCTCCGACCTATGCATCTATAAACCACGTGGTTTGCGTCATTTCTACTTACTTTAATTTCCCCGGGCCTTGTCCATATCCTTTCGTTTCTAACTTCCTGTAAAAGTTCCTCAGTTTGGCTTCAAAATCTCTCTTGTATGGGGCTGGAGCCCGGGCATTGGCACGCTGAGTACCTGTAGCAACCAAAGAAAGACAACCTGGATCCATGCCCTGTGCCAGCATCGTCCCAACACCACGAAAGACTGCCACAAGTTAGCAAAGAAAACCGAAGCATTACCCCTCCTCCACCCCCTCCAACGGCAAAGGCCTTAGCATAGCCTAAGGAAGATCTTAGGGGAAATTCTCGTTTTTTCGACTGAGAATAAAGGTCCTGTTTAAACAGCCAAATAAGCTCACTGTTTCTCAGATATGTTCCCCTTTTCCATCCAAACCAGAATGAGTCAAAGAGTTATTCATGTCTAAGGATAACTAGTCAGGACAGAATATCTTTGCTTGTAGAAGAAGCCATATCATGGAAACTCTAAAGGAAGTCGCACGGAGCCCGGTGAAAGTGTTTTTAGATATGCATTATATTTAAGAACAATCTTAGAAATACAATTGCATTTATTTTATATTGTAGGATAAAAGATTAATCGAAAAACAGAATTGTGGGAGGAATGTAGATCTTGGAGCTGCATAAAGAATAAGCAGTATTAGCACTGGCTGTATTTCCAATGTGTCGAGTACTGTCAATAGCTATAGATTAAAAGTACACCATTCATTATGAATAAAGTATTATTAATAAGGTGTAAACATAACACGGTTTCTCCCTCTTTCGACAGAAAAATCCGTGTGTCCCAGGGGATTAGGTGACATGTTGGGATGCTGGACTGGCGATGACCAGGGGACTCAGGCACAGACACTTGACACAAACACCGCTGCTTCCATGAAGTATTTCCCAACTCAATGAAAGGAAGCAGAAAGCAAATTACTATCTCGCTCCTTACACAGCATTCGAGTTCCATGAGATGTTCTTTTCATGTGTTGTTATTTGTTCTGTTGAGACAGAAGCTTGCCTAGATTGGCCTTGAATTTTCCATCCTCCTGCCTGTGCCTCAATTATAGGCTTCAATTACAGGTCTGAGCCAACCTGCTTAGCAGAAATTTCTTTAACAAATGAGTTAGCTAGGATGGTTATTTATGACTGCTAGTCTTGCGTTATAGTTAACAATGGATGTCCTGGTTGAGAAGACAGAAATAAAACATATTAAATAATGAAGTCTCAAACTAGAAGGGATACAAACCCTAAAAGAGAGGAGATAAAACTATAGCCCTGGGGATAAAACTATAGTCTCAAATGTCTACTTTGTTCGCCCCCTACATTAAAAAAAAAGAAAGACCAGATGACTAGATTCATTGCCAGCATTTAAAAATTAGGCAATTTCAAGTAAAAGAAACACATGTTTTTCTCTTGAAAGGTATGAGAAATGTTACAACTGGCTCGAGCCTCCTTGAGGAGGCTGCTTCCTCAGACTCCACTTCTTTGCATCCGCTCAGTGGTACAGGCTATCCGACCACCTAGTGTTTGCCTTTGAGACCGGTGGTACAGGAGATAATGGTAATGTCACAGAGAAGTTTTGTGTGTGTGTGTGTGTGTGTGTGTGTGTGTGTGTGTGTGTGTAGGGATCACAGTGGAAAAAGACCTCAGGGAGGAGCTTAATTGGAGCCTAAGTGGTTAATTGCCAAGAGGATAGGATCTAGAATCACCATGGAGACAAACCTCTGGGCATGCCGGAGGTGGCGGTGGAATTTCTAGCTCTGGTTAATTGAGGTGGGGGGACCCACCCTAAATGTGAGTGTCAGCATTCCAGGGGCTGGGGTCTAGCAGCGGAGAAAGAAGAGGGCTTCGTACCTGAGATTCATCTCTGCTTTTGATTGAGGATGCAATCAATAAAAACAGCCACCACCTGCCCCTGCCACCTCGACACAGAGGAATGTATCCCCTCTCACTATAAGCCCGAATAAACCTGCCCTGTCTTAAGTTCCTTAACGTCTGGTATTTGGTCACAACAAGGAGAAGATTCAATCCCACTAAACTCGTGACTAGAAAAGAAACTGAATTTTATTCTTGTTCGCAGCAGGAAGAACGGGGCTAAATACTGAATGTGTGTTCAGATGCTACGGCGGACACTCCACAACCTGGAGTATGGCGGGCAACCTGGAGAGACAAGGGCTGAAGTCAGTTAGAAGAGAGATTTAAAAATCCTGCCGCTGGCGTTAGGGAGTAGGGGGCGGGGCTCCTTCATAGACTGTTGAGGAAAGGAAAGGGAAGAATGCCAAAGTGGGACTTGGCTAGAGAAATTCTCAGCGGAGGGCGGAGGGCAGATGTAGGGTGGGAAAGAGGAAGGAGGACGGACGGACGGATGGAAGGGCGGAGAAGCAGCTGGGCATTTATACAGCAACTGAGGCCTGAGGGGATAAGAACTAGTCAGGAGTGCGGGTGACTCAGAGGAACCCTGCGCATGCGAAATACAAATTAGCACCAGTAGAAAAGCGGGGGGGGGGGGGGGGGGGAAGCTCTGATGGTAACACCGTTTCTTAATGATGATGATAGTTGTCAGACAAGCACCCGCTGTCCAATGGGGATGTTGTGGTACTTTCCACAGGGGGAGTCTTGAGAAATCCTCACACAGAGTCTCTGAAGGGGCCAATAAGGTCTCCATCATCACTCTGACAGAAGAAAATGAGGAAGCAGCTTCCTGCCCAACTCCTGCACCAGGAACAGGAATCTGGGATGTGACGAGGTCTCTTGGATGCTAAAAGCAGTGTGTCTGGCGGGGTGATGTTTGTAGTCAGGGACACAGGACGCTTTGTGAATGTTGAGTTGGATGCGACAGTCACGGATACTCTCCACAGACCCTGGACAGGAGAGCTCCTGAGTTTGCGCGAGAGATAAGTTAATCCCTGTGGACGAGATAGGTTGGTGCATGCATGACCCTGTGCAGTGTCGAGCATAAGAAGTCCTCTGTGTGCTGGCTGTTCATGCTAGGACATACATCCTCAACACATAGGCAAACATGTTGGAGCTTCGGGGAGGGATAGTCACAAGGCTGGCTCCTGACCAGTCTGCAGGCCTGTCTGCAGAGTTAGAAACCTTTCCTTCAAAGAGCTAAGAGCTAAGTCATAAAGAAAACAAATAAACTCAACCTTACAAAATCCAGGAAAGAAAAGAGAATCCTCAACACTCGCTCTTGAGTGCATGTCAGAGTCTCTGAGGGAACTTTAAAAAATTCCAAAGTGCAAGCCACTCCCCAAACCACTACATCAGAATCTGTGGGGGCAGGATCCAGGCCTCTGTGTTTTCTACAGCTCTCCAGATGATTCCAAAATGCAGCCAAGCCGAAGAATCGCTTACAGAAAGCACACTCAACAGAAAGCCGTGAGACGTGTGGGCGGTGTCCAGTAGCTCACACCGGGCAGCGGCTGCCTGTGTGCTCCACAAACGGACGGACGGGAGCCGTGGAAGCACAGGGCTGCTGCTGGGTGGATGGAGGTCAAGACGACGCATCATTCGGCCACTCAGGAAACCCAAGAAAGTTGCAAGGAGCTCTACACTGTCGCCCAGAAGCCCAGAAAGTAGCCACAACAAATTTGTGTCAACAGGAGTCGTCGATGGGAAACAGGAAATAAAGCTCAAAGACTGAATGAAAACTCTTTATAGCCTCGAAAAGAAAGATCATTCGTTTGGCTGACGACTTTAAGAAGTAATTACTATGCCTGTATAACTTGAGCTAGGCCCTGGAAAGTCCCACCACGCATCCCGTCACTCTCCATACTGGTAAATGAAAAGTTAGTTCCGCCTCCATTTACAATCTAGCTCAGGGACTTAACCATAGAGAGCCAGGTAACAGTGATGGTTCAAGGTGAGCATCCCTTTGCTAATAGTTCTGTTATAAAAACAATCTCATATAATTCACTTAAAATGACAGCGAACAGCAAGCTCTGTTGGCCTTTGTCAATTTCTATATTTGTTTTCAAGTCTCATGTAGCCCAGGCTGGCTTCAAACTCCCTCTGTAGCCGGGTGGTGGTGGCGCATGCCTTTAATCCCCGCACTTGGGAGACAGAGGCAGGTGGATCTCCGTGATTTTGAGGCTAGCCTGGTCTACAAGAGCTAGTTCCAGGACAGGCTCCAAAGCTACAGAGAAACCCTGTCTCAATAAAACCAAACCAACCAACCAACCAACCAACCAAACGAACAAACTCACTCTGTAACCGGGCATGAGTGCTGGGATTACAGGCATGCACCACCACACAGAGCTCAGAACCTGTAGTTAAGAAACTTATTAACAGAGATGGGGAACACACACGAGCAGGAGGTGGGGACTTTTTAGAGGGGTCTGAAGCAGGATGTGAAAGGTTAGTAGTAGAGTACGGATTGTCTTGTGAGCCAGGAGATGAGCTAGGAAGTCCAGGGAAGACCTGTCTGAGGGACCCAGGAGAAACAGACTGGAGGCAGACAATGTGACACAGACAAGGACAGGACCCCGCGTGGACGTGCCACTGAGTCTAAGTGGTAGGATGTCGTTCTTCAGTACAGAAGTCATGGATCATGGACGATTTTTCAACAAAATTAATAATGGAAGAGATATATAATTCCAGGTTAATCTGGCTCTAATATGGATGCCAGACTCAGGGCACTAAGTCTTATAAGTTGGAAACAGACTAGAGCTTCATGGGAGTTACTTCAGGGGTGGCCGTAAGGCTGCGTTCCTCATTGTAAAGTATGAATAGAATCCTGACCATCTATAGTTTTGAGCAAATATTATCCACATTAGTTCTTAGGGGTTAATTTTGTTTTTGGAAAGGATAGTGTTATTAGAGTAAATGCAAAAAGAAAAATAGAAATTTTACTGACTATATTATTTAACATAACTTACAAAACTGTCTGCTCATGGTGAAAGTATTTTGAGAAGTAGGGTAGCAAGGTCTTGCTATATAGCCCAGGTTGGCCTGGGACTTGAAAAACACCAAATCGTCCTGCCTCCCCCCTTCCCCAATCTGGGATTCTAGATATGAGCCACCGTTCCCCAAACCAGCTGTCATATAATTAATACAAATCAGGCTCAACTGCCAAGAGCTTCCCGGGAAAGAATGCGGTTATTTTGGTTCTAGAAACCAAAAAAATGTTCTTGG